ATCGATTTTGTAGAGAGGAAAATATCTTTAAGAATTTTCTATAAAAATTTCTCAAGCTATTGCCTGATTTTCCATAAAATCGCCCAGTTTCTGAAAAATTAACAGGTTCCTAGAAATGCAACAATTTCCCAACAGTTCTACGTGACGGGAGGATCTAAACAGCTAAGGACAGCTAATTTTATTTTAACTGTTATGATGAGAGATAACTGGTGAGAGCTTTTTGTTGAAAATTTTAGTTTTTGTTTAACAGAAGGGCTTTGGAACGTTTTGTTTTACTACTGCGAAAAGAAGTGAGAGAAACAATTTTTTGTATAGTCAGAAAGGCTGCATGAACATTGCGTTCAACGTTTTCTTTGTATTTTTCTATGTTGTTGTGAAGCTGTGTAACGCTTTTGTAAAAAATAAAAACAAAATTGATCTGCTTCGGCCCTTGCTTTCTCGGGAAGAGAGCCGACATACCTTGAGGTTGAGGGCGGCAGATGCCTTCTATTCGTTTCTGAAAAGTTAGACCTTACGGAGTTATCTTTAGCGCATTCAGCTTTAGTCCAGTTCATGACTATGTGTAAAATACATACACACATAGTGACTGAAGAAAAGTCTTCCTACACCCATCTTATTAAAATAAGAAAAATTTCTGCAACACAAAACAGGTTCCTCGATTTTCTTAGCAAATGAGAGGATCCTATACAAGTAAGTAATCAGAGTAGCTACAAAAAAACTTCAGTCATATCGAAACGTTCGAGACTCGAGACTACAGTATCGAGGCTTCTTGATACTTCTCGTCTCGGTGCATGCCTAGTTATTTTAAAATAAAGGAAAACTATTTAAATAAAGAAAATATTGAACAAACTGGTATTTAAACAAGGTTGACAAATATTTAATTGATTTTTAATATTAGTCCTTTAATATTTTTCTTTTTAAAATTAGTCCGTAGACCCATCAATTTCAAGGTCTTTGATCTGAAATTGTATTCATTTCAATAAAACTCTTTTATTGCTTCTAGTTAAAACAAACGTTACGAGGCTATTTTAAAGGATGGATTAAATAGCATTGCTTTGTACTTTGTTTCTTTCGTCAGAATAAAGTAGTAGTTAAGTTGGACATTGATGTTCTTTAAACGACATTTTAACTCTTGTCCCGAATTAAGGTCCGATTCGAATATTGTGTTTGTTAGATTAATTCAAAGTGGATTCAAACTACTTCAAATTATCCAAATATGCTCTATCTTATACCTTGAATTTGATCGTATACTTATAGTAAGCGAAAAACATTTTCTTTCTTCCAAAGAGTTCTGGGACGCTCCTCGAAAATCGAAGTGCTTTCAATTTTTTTTTAGAATTTTATTGCACTTCAGTATATACTACAGATAGATTAGGATATATCTTGAATTTCTGAAGTAAGCAAGACTGATTAATCAAAAAAGCATTAGACGATTACAAATGATAATCGACAACCATATTGGGTCAATATTCCGGAAATATGGACTTTCGTTCAAAACGAAAACAAACAAACAAAATGAATAATGACGAGCGGTTAAGAGCAGTGGAAAACATTGTAAAGCAAAACAAATGAACAGAGCTTTGTGTTTGACTGTAATTGTCATTTTCCGATACTGATAAAAGTAGATACATAGCCAGTACCCAAATAATGCCTACACTATCGACGACATGCGATACTTATTACTACCTAATGTATAATGCTTATGGTTATGATTATCAATAGGTAAAGGAACGTTATTGTGCTATTTATGAATCTTACCATTACTGTATGTGTCAATAAATAATGTAGTTAATGTGATGAACTATAATACTGCGGAAAGCATCGTTTTTCTCTGTCTACTCATAACTTTATTTGATTACGCGTACCAACAGATTTGATTTTGTTTTTAGTTAAAGTTCATTTCAAATTATCCGAATAACTAACTTAAAATATATCTTAATGTAACTTGACAGAATATTTCTATCATGTCTCTATCCTTCGGCAATATTTTTAAGGACTCTAGAAAGGTGCACAATTAGAATGGGATAGACTTGCCGTGTATAGATAATCACCACGTCCAAAGCTTGTTTTACAACATTGTTCTTATTTATTCAAGATCTATCGCACAGTGAAAAAACATTTGAAGATCTTTCTTGATGAAGTGTAGCTTCCTTTCTCTATGCAGTTCATATTTTTGGATGAGATGCTGACAAGTCTCAAGTGTGTACATATACCTATACATTAACGTCAATCAAAACTTAATTATGAACATAAGTGCCATCGTAACTTTCAACGTCCGCGGTTTGACCAACGAATTCAAGCAAAATACGACTTGAAGGCGCTTGAGTCAGTCGCTAGACAGAGAAAGAAATGGCAACAAATCATAATTAATAAAGGGTGGCTCAGAAGTCCTGACTCGATCTGAATGGTTAGTTTTTCTTTAATAAAATACATGATTAAAAATGTGTCTCTAGTGTGAAAAGATGCAGCAGAACACGCTCTACAAAATGGCTCTTCATTGACCATTCTACCTCATATAGTGAGAAAGTTACAAGCTTAGAAACATGCTTCACAGAAAATAAAAATTAACCGTGAACCCGATTTCTATGATGGTTCTTCCTATAAAAGTCTCGTAGCTGCATCACAACACAAGATTTGCCAATCAGGTTTGTTTTGTTTTGATCAGAAATGATTGCATTCCTCTAACTAGCTGCAACATCAAAACATCGATCACCTTTTCTTTTTTTGCTGAGTACAGTGCCGAAAACCAGAGTGTCAATTCTCGACGTGAATCTCAAGCACACCATCTTCTATAAAGCAGATATTTTAGAGACCACAAGAAAAAGTAACTTCAAAAGTACCGAATATCAATGAGTACTCACTTTCATACCCTGTCGAACAGAAATATTAAGAAAAGAAAAATTTCAAGTAAAAGACAGCTAAATTCATGAAGTTCTTAGTTTTTGCCTCGCGTATAATTTGCTACGCGAAAAGCAATCTCATATATATATAAGTTATATATATATATATGTAGTGCATAGGTTCTATTAGTGTGTAGCTTATTTTCACACAAAATCCTTGCAGTTTAGTTTACGGTTTGTCTTGTTCCATGTGCTCTTCTGCTGTACTACTTGTTGTTTCAACATCGTCGAATTTCTTCTCTAATATGTCGAGTAGTATCTTAGAATTCGTATCACCAAGCTTTTTTGCACGTAATGTTAATTTAATAGCCCACGCATAACACGTTTTAGCTCCATTTCTTTCAAGTGCTGCCATGTGTTCTGCACCTTTATCTTGTATATACTTTGCTATATCTTTTGTTAAACGTAGTAGTAAATTAGTCTGATGATCCAACATTGCTGTTATAACCTCAATATAATCCATTGCCCAGGTTTGCACATGATGGGAAATATTTCCACAGAAAATCAAAATTTCTTGAATTTGGGGTAATCCAGCTATTTCTCGTAAAAATGTTTCACCCATGGATCCGGATGTAATAAAAAATATTTTACGATCATGATGTAGATTTATAAATGCAAGACACTCATTAGAGTTAAAGAACGCTTTCAAACAATAAACTCTATCTTTTAGTTGCTCTAGTATTTCTGGACTCAAAAATAATGGCGTATCAACAACTTCATTATCTAATGTATTTAAAGGTTGGATATTTGTTTGAAATTCAGATTTCAGATCAACATTCTGTCCTTCTCGTCCTATATGTTCATCAAGCCAAACAGTTAGATGATTAGAATATTGACCAATATCTCCACCCTCCCAGTAAGGAATTACTTTTGAGTATTGATTTAAATCAGGTTCCATCATTGGTAAACAAATATCTAGTCTATAGTAAAAAATGTGTGAAAACATGACATTACTTGGGATGCAAGATTACCCAACAACTATGTCCTAAGTATATATCTTTATATGTTTTGTAACTGACGACTGAACGTAAACCGTAATATAAATTTGATGCGGTTTGTTCCAAAATGTGTTCCGTTATAGAAAACATCGAAATTATATATTTTTCACAATCACGTATGCTTTTGATCAAAAGCAATAATTAATCATTTTTCATAACTCAGAACTCGAAGGAGATATGTAACAAGTGTGTCACGGTGTATGCCTAAAATTTTTCCACTCGGGATTGATGAAAAAGAAGGATTAAGCGGTGTAAGACCATCATTTGTGATTTTAGAAAAAAATATTAATTCAGTTAATTTTACAACCCCTTTGCAGTTACTAGAGACCCAGACAGAATTCATTTCTAGAAGAATCAAAACAAGATACCACAACCGGTTTCGACCTTTCTCTAGGATCTCGTCAGGCGGTTTCCTTCCAGAAAGACAGAATTGAAGCACGACAAGCAACACAACTCCGTCACACCGCATGAGGGTGTTACTTTTCCTTGTTCTTGTCGAATAAAGAACGATAACTTTCACACGACGACAACGAAGCACGAATCATTGTGCAATGCACATGTTCTGCTCCTCAACATTAAGTATTTCTTTTCATTCTATCAGAAATTCTGTCTGAATCTCTAGTAACCACAAAACGGTTGTAAAATTAACTAAATATAATTATTCAAGTCGAGTTTCACATTTATAAATGTTAATTCAGTTATTGATGCTATACAGTAAAGAAGCTTAGGATGAAAACAAGCATGACCTTTTGTATTTCACCTTACTTAATGTTTTCTTTTCGATATATGCGTGGCAAGTAATTTCTTCGTTTTGTGGTAAAAACGTTTTTTTTGGTTATTCAACACGACTTTTTGGAATAGGAAAAAACCAAGTTTATTTGAAGTCCATTCGCTCTTTTTCCTTCGTCTACGTATATACTTTCAAAATGCTTGAAGTAAATGCGAGTCAACGGAACGGATAAAAATCAATCGCTTTCTTTAAGACTTAAACTTCCTGTTAGAAAGGATCTCAGGAATTCCACGACTTATCCTGTTAGAACTCAAAAGAGGGTCAAAAGAGGGCATCCAAGGATTAGTAGATCCCTCCTCTGAATCAAGAGATGTAGTGCCTGTAATAGTTTTAGATTATCAGATATTGATATCAGAATAACTTAGTAGAATCCGCTTTTCGAAAGGAGAAGGGTTAACTTCATCAGAAAATGATGCCTCGTTTTGTTTGCTTATTTTGACTCGACTATTGTAGAAAAGATGTTTGGCTACATTTTCCAATTATTCTTATGGAAATAAGCTCAAAATACATTTTTAACGTTGATTATTTTGAGATTCCATCAGAAGACGTCGTTGTTAGAAAAAATAATATTTTTGAAAGATCCAGCATAGGTTTCACACAAACCTTGATATGAGAAAATAGCCAGTGAAAAACCGAATAAAATAATCTACGAACAATCCTTATATATCATTTCAATAGGCAGAAATTATTTTTACAAGAGATAAATTAACTTAAAAGACACTATCAGAGATGTTTTAAGTACTTTTTTCTCCATATGCAAACGAAGATCCAACTTGTATTTGGTAAAGCAAAATAGCCCTTGATTTACTTTACAATATTTTATACAAAGAACCTTTAACCGTTATTGGCCGAGTCACTTAGAGTTTCTACAAGAGTCCAATTTGTACTTAAAAGACGGTATCAGCGATGTTTCGAATACTTTTTCTCCATATGCAAACGAGGACCCAACTTGTGTTTGATATAGAAAAATAGCGAATGAAAAACGGAATAAAATGGTATATGAACCATAGTTACGTACCATGTTATTGAGGAGAGATGGTTTATTTTCAGGTATCCCCTATCTAGTGACCATGTTCCAGTGAGCATATTTTCCCATTTTCTCCCCAAAACAAGAATGGATCCAACTAGTCTTTAGTATAGAAAAATAGTTTTTGAAAGCTCTACAATATTTTCAGTAAACAAATTCTACATACCATTGGCTTAATCCATTATAATTCAAATACGAGAAAAATCAAGGAAATGCAGTTTTCACCATCAAACTTCACCCTTTTCTCAAGAGCTACATCAGATTTAGAATCATCGTTAAAAACTACATTGAACAATGTTTGTTTCGGCATTTTTAGACAACTTTGATTTCTCAGCAAAAATCTCGGTCGAAAAATTCGCAAAAAATCAAAGTTGTCTAAAAACCTGATAATCTAAAACTATTACAGGCACTTATCCCTCAATAGTTTTCTCCTCCATAAATACATCAGACGAACTGGCAAAAAAGATTTTAGAGCGATCCTATAAAAGGAATGAACACAATTGAATCAAATGGCTTGGCCGACTATTGAGAACAATTAACAACGATTTCACCTTAAAATAATCATAGATTGGTATGAAGCTTTTTAAATTTAGTATATTCTTCTTACATAGAGGTATGACATCATTTTTTATAATATAGAGTGATCCTGTGATAACAATATTTACTTTAATTATTTTTCTTTACTTTTGCTTCATAAAGTATAAAGACCAAATCAATGATTCATTTTTTGGTTTGGCCTTAGTACTTTATGGAGAGTAAGTAAAGAAAAATAACTAAAGTAAATATTGTTATCGGAGGAAATAAATCATCCAAAAAAAAGTTAAAGAGCAATCAAAACATGTCAGCGTTCTGCCAAAAAAGTGTTGCCAACCATCAGTGGCCACAGCGTCAAAGCGCAGACGAACGAAAGATATACCACAATCGAATGTTTGCTAGATGAATTATTCTTATAAATATTTTCTCATCTTAATGTTTTTCCACATTTACGAGCATTTTATCACTTGAACAAACGACTTAATTCAATTCTCAATGATCAGTAAACAAAATTTTTTATTTCACTCAGCAATCAAAATGATAAAGCTTTATACATAAAAGTCGTTTGTTAAAATGCAGAAGCTTATATAGTTAGGATTATTCGCCACATAATTTATCCAAAATAACATTTGGATTACTAGGTTAAAAATCGCTATGAATACAGAAATTTTTTTTTGTCGGAATCAGTTAATTATTTACATTAGAAAGGCATATCACTGTTGAATCAGAACTACTTGGGGTATCTATGGATAAAAAAAATAATCAAAATCAAAACTAAACTGCGGAAAAAAATTATATTCTGTTTGTAAAAGCGTTGTCGAAAACCGAGTCTTTAGTGTAAAGAATATCCCCTTTTTTTGTATAAAGCTTTATCAAGTTGATTGCTCAGTGAAATAAAACATTTGCTTACGGATTATTGAAAATTGAATTAAATTGTTTGTTCAAGTGATAAAATACTTGGAAAAGTTGAAAAACATTAAGATGAGAAAAAGAATAATTTGAATTTTCAAAAGTTGTTCTCTTCTCTATTTTGCGCTCAAATGTTGCCCGAATATTCTCCTAGCGACAGAGCATTTGTAGAATTAGCATAAACGTTCGTCACAGCAGGCTTTCCAAAATACCTTGATTTTTCAGCTGTAATCCACTTTTCTCCACCAAAACAGCGTCTATTTTAAAAACTAAAAGGATATTCGTGATCACCGGGAGAAACTACATATAGTCCACTAGGTTTGAAAATTTTGAGACAAAACTTTTGAAAATCCTTTGGTTTCCAGG